ATTACCATAAACATTTGAAAAGTTGAAAACATACCCCTCGCAGTTGCTAAAAAGATACAGAAACATGAAAAAAAGAACAAATAAATCGAAGGACAAAACAACTTAAAGACAGAAGTATTGCAGCCTTGGAGAGGATTGGCCGTTTAGTGTCAGATAAGAACATACAGAAATACGAGTAAGCCAAGGCTAAAAAACACTCACCTCCCCATGATGTTCCTCATTTTCTTTTAGCAGATCGATACAGTACTCCGTGACTCGCATCATATCCTCGATTCGTTGTTGGGGGCTCACATCAACACCCATTCGTTCTAAAAAGGATCTCATGTAGATAGATAAGACTAAGAAAACCACGATAATCAGCGAGTAAACGAGAAGGTACCCTCTGATTCAACGGGATTGGCGACTGGAAGGCGGAGCCTCAAGGCTTAATCAAGGCTCAGAATGATCAGAAAGCACGCTCGTGAGAGAGACGTAGACTGCTTCGCGGGAGCGAGCCTAAGCGTAAGCTTTCCAGCCGCCAATCCAGATGATTCAAAGTGTAAAAGGAATATATATTTACATCATCGAATATCCAGTTGACAGGAAGATTATTTTCGAGTTCGAAATTTTGAATAGAAATTCAAAAAAAAAAGAGTTTCCAAGAAAACCTACGTTCAATTTTTGCTTCATTGCAAATTCTCGTATAGTTGACCAAAGCTGCATCCTCAAGACATTTCCGTATAACTGCACGAACTTCTTCAGGTGGTACTGGCGATACAACGTCTTTCATAAGCACCTATAAGCTTTGAATCTACAAAAAAAGGCAAACTACTGGTCGATACTTACCCTTTCCAGAAGTGACAAAGTTCCCTTCAAAGCACCTTCAGGACGACCAAATGGAAAACAATACCTACATCAAGATTGAGATCATCATTCAAAAGCAAAACTGAACATGAACTTACCGAAAATTGGTGATTTGCTTTTCCAACAATACCCGTAAACGTTCCTTGATTTCTTGGAATTTCTCTTTCTCTTCCAGAGTCACCGTACCCACACCATCTGGCCTGCAGAACGGTTTTTTTTTTTAATTCAAAAGGCAAGTCATCTCATTACACG